CTAAATCTGGAAACCAAGTACAATGGGTCTCAATAACCTTTAAAAGTTCCTCTAATTTCTTCTCTGAGACTTTTACCCCTCCCTTCTTATAAAGCTGCTTAAGCAGGCAAATATACGGTCTATATCGACTCTCAGATTTTCCCATATTAGTTTTTAGAAGAGAAAATAGAACTTTCACTCAATTATTCATTCAGATGCTCGTCTGGCCACACCCCTCATGCGGCAATGTCTGTCTTGGCTAATGCGCTTCAGTATAAACCCCCGAACTGATGAACGACTCAGTCGCCGTTATGCCTTATGACAGATTATGGAACCGCAGATTGGAGCCCATTCAAGTTTCACAACTAAAAGTCTTGAAACAATAATCAATCACTCACACATTCACACTCTTTCACACAAAGTTTGTTAGGTTATACTCTGGATGCCCCGGTACACTTCCTCAGGACTTTTCCTTACTTCTCACCAAGTAGAGTGCCGGCCCATCCTGGGGTCTGTGACATGAAAATCACCAAGGTTCAGAGTCTTCCTTCCCTTCTTCGAAAAGCCCCAAGGTTGGGCGCCAGATGTCACGTCCTGCGTGGCAAGGGCAAATGGGACTCGAGAGGAGCGACGCAGATTGAATAAGAACAAGAGACAAAAGTAAGATAAGAGCGAGACCAAGGGACTCAGCCAGAAAAGACTGAGCTCCGAATTAGGTCAGCGCATGGTTTTTATTGAGAATTTTCAAAGAAGTAAAACTGCTGTAAATTAGTAACCGTGTGTAATTGTGTGCATCAAGGCTGTTTTCCATTAACTCATCCCATTGTATTCCAACAAATGTTATGCCTTGATACATCACTACACAGCCCCAGGACACTGAAGCTACTGTGTCCTCCCAGAGAGAACTGATATCATTCCATCAGGTCCCAGTCATACCAAGACACCCCCCGAGAGAGCTTTACCGATATCATTCCACTGGGCCTCGGTCATACCAAGACACTCTCTCATGACTAATAGGGTCAGGGGCTAATGCAGAGTGGGTGGTCTTGAAATCCGCTGTAAGGCAACAGGTTTCTCTCCTGAGTGTGTCCTCTGGTGTCTTATGAGCTTTGACTTTCTACTGAAGCCTCGCCCACACTCCTTGCAAATATAGGACTTCTCACTTGAGTGTGTCCTCTTTTGTGTGATGAGATTTGACTTATGACTGAAGCCTCGTCGACACTCCCTGCAAACATAGGGCTTCTCGCCTGAGTGTGTCCTCTTGTGTGTGACGAGATTTGACGTATCACTGCAAACATAGGGTTTTTCCCCTGAGTGTGTCCTCTGGTGTGTGATGAGATGTGTCTTTTGATTGAAGTGTCGCCCACACTCCGTGCAAACATAGGGTTTCTCCCCTGAGTGTGTCCTTTTGTGTTTGACAAGACTTGACTTATCACTGAAGCCTCGCCCACACTCCCTGCAAACATACGGCTTCTCTCCTGAGTGTTTCCTCTTGTGTGTGATGAGATGTGACTTTTGATTGAAGCGCCGCCCACACTCCCTGCAAACATAGGGCTTCTCCCCTGAGTGTGTCCTCTTGTGTCTTACGAAATATGACTTATCACTAAAGCCTCGCCCACACTCCCTGCAAACAAAGGGTTTTTCCCCTGAGTGTGTCCTCTGGTGTGTGATGAGATGTGACTTTTGATTGAAGTGTTGCCCACACTCCCTGCAAACATAGGGTTTCTCCCCTGAGTGTGTCCTTTTGTGTCTGACGAGACTTGACTTATCACTGACGCCTCGCCCACACTCCCTCCAAACATAAGGCTTCTCCCCTGAATGTGACCTCTTGTGTGTGTTGAGATTTGACTTATTACTGATGCCTCATCCACACTCCCTACAAACATAGGGTTTGTCCCCTGAGTGTGTCCTCTTGTGTCTGACGAGATTTTACTTATCACTGAAGCCTCGCCCGCACTCTTTGCAACCATAGGGTTTCTCCCCAGAGTGTGTCCTCTGGTGTGCGATGAGATTTGACTTTTTATTGAAGCCTCGTCCACACTCCTTACAAACATAGAGTTTCTCCCCTGAGTGTTTCCTCTTGTGACTGGAGAAGGCCACAGAGCAGGAGGAAAAGGGATGGATCTTTGGTTTTGTTCCTGCCGAAACAGAAAGTTTGAGTCAGGGCAGGTTTTGACAAGGCTGCCTGAGCCGTATCCTGCTGAGAATGGCCCCACTGGTCATTATCCATGTGTTGACAAGTCAAGCTCTGTCTCCCACAAAGTGTTGCTTTACAGTCTATTTTTTCATTCCATTTTTATGCACTACATCTCCCGAAATCCAGAAAGCCCCTATCAAGGAACTTTTCTACACACTGCCCAGAGTAGGGACTTTCAAGAAGCATCAGAGGCAGTTTCAGTCCTTATATAGATGGCACTGCAGTGATCTTTCCCCATAGACTTCTCTTGTAAGTCACATTAAAGAGAAAAACCACAGGCCCCAAACAGTGCCACTC